CACTTTGCATCTATTATATTTCAAAACAAAAACAAAATCATACATTCAGCTTAAATTAACATGAAATAATCAAGTTTTTCTTAGTTTTTTTAATGCTAGTCACTATTCGCTATCAGATTGTAGGCATTTTTTTATTTCTCCCTTTGTGGTCTGAAAAAGAAAGACAAACTTACGGCTTTAGAAAACCACTGGATGAGTAAATGATGACTCAGATTTCATTTCGGGGTGACCTTTCCCTTTAAATGAATACTTCGACCCAAAAAGGAAAATGACTCATCATTTACTCACACTCAAGTGGTTCCTAAACTTTGGAAACGTTGGAAACCGCTAGCCAATGATTTCCATAGTAGGGAAAAATACTACAGTCAAGGGCTACTGGTTTCCAACAGTATTCAAAATATCTTATTTTGTGTTTAACAAATAAAAGGAAACTAAACGTTTGGAACCACTTGAGTGTGAGTAAATGATGAGGACATTTTGGTTTTTTGGTGTGAACTATCCCTTTAAGTTCTATTTAATATCCTCACACATACGTTTATTGTTGTTATTGACTATTTTGATCATTTAATAATTTTCCTAAGGCTTAGTCCCTTCTTATTCAGCATTTTTTTACACAGCTGATGCACTTTCAGTTGCAACCCAGTACTGGGAAACACCCATACAGACTCAAACGTCATGCGCATGTCTTTGGACTGTGGAGGAAACCGGAGCTCCTGGAGGAAACCCATGCCAACATGGGGAGTGCACACAGAAAATGCCAACTGACCCAGCCAGGACTCAAACCACGACTTTCTGGCCAACCACTGAGCCACTGTGTCGCCTTTATAATTCATCAAATATAGAACTACAGATACTGTATATATGGAGCTTTATCAAAATTATCTGCAAAAAACGATTGATTAAATTAACTTAATCGTTTTCACAAATTTAAGCGAATTAAACATGAAACTAGTAAGTTGTTATCAAAACAACCCTTAATTGTGTCGATTCAACTTAATGTAAAAAAGTAGAACAAGCAGCAAATTGGATCAACTTAAATCAATGACTTACACCTAAAAGAATGAAGTTTGTCCAACTTATTACTGAAAACTAGGGATGTCCAGATCCGATCATGTGATCAGAAATCATAAAAGTAGATCACGGAAGCAGCTTAAAGTGGAAATTGCGAGTATGTCTGCAGTCTGGAGGTATTATGAAGTTGATGACGACATTATTGCCAAACTGTGAGATAAGTAAACTTGGGATTGCCTGCTGGGTATTTTAAGTTGAGGTGAGGTTTTTAAATATTTATTGTTGCACTAAACTCCAAAAGTGTAGAATTTATATTATTTATAGCTTAATTGTTCAAGCTGCCTCACGGAAGTGCTCTGTTTTTTTAACAGAGTTGTTGAATGTTAAAATAATGTGCATTAAATAAGAAACAATCTGTTTCTTCACTCTTCTTTATTCTTTTTTTTTATGTATTATAGAAGTATCGGATTGGGTTTTGGTATTGGTAGATAGATTGGTAGACTCGGACTCAAGGGCAAAAGTACCTGATCGGGACATCCCATAATAAGTGAAGAGGAAACTAATTCATTCATGTAGTTGTAACAAGCTGAAGTAACGTGCTTTCACTTTCCACAGTCTAGTTTAGTCATTTGGAGAAAAAGAAACAACAGACCTTTCCTCCATCTGCGTGATACTCCTTCTCGTCCGCGTTTAACAGCTTGGCGAGGCCGAAATCGGTGATCTTGACATGCTGAGGCGTCTTTACCAACACATTACGTGCTGCCAGGTCTCGGTGCACAAGATGGCGCTCTTCTAGATAATTCATACCCTGATAAAACACACTCAAAACAATTAACACTGGAGTTAAAACAGTCTTATTAAAAAAAAGCTGGCTTTATATTAACTTAAGTATAATGAGACGGGAGTGCTTACACTTGGCACTTCATATTGGTAACACCTAGATTTATAGTGCCTTGTTATATGTACTTATTGTTATAATAACAGTAAATTATGCATAATTACACCCTAAACCAAGCCCTAATCCTAACAGCAGACTGCGCACGCTAATACACATTTATGTAGACTTTTATATAAACTATGCTGTGTAAATGAATCATGGATAATTCTGATATATATATAAGACAGTCAGGATTCAGGAAGATGAAAGCGTTTAGGCTTTCTGGGAATATTAAAATCAGCATATCTATACAAGTGGTAGGTTGATCCTGATCAAAGTTTCCCTCAAGAAATGTTCTTCCCTCGGGTGTGTGGAGCTAAAAAAAACGTGCATATTAAAAGATTCTTCACAGCTAGTGATTTAGACTTCGGGAATTAGATATGTCTGATTTTATGTCTGTGAGGGATTTTATACCTATTTTTGGGTTTATATAACCAGTGAGAAACCTGGATATGCACATCAGTTTCTATCCAAATGAACAAATGTCGCATTATATTTTTAGTTTTGCTTTAAGCACAAAAGTATTCGTTTTTTATAGATGCTAGGACACATTTCTCAATACTTAGGTCACTTTTGCAAAACTCTTCACACAGTGAGCACAACAGAAGTTTATGTGGGCTAAACTGAGGATCAATTCTCATTGTTTTGGCACAAAATGCATTCAATGACTACATCTCTCAAATTTCATCACTTCTTTTCTCACCCGGACACATTTTGCACGTGCTTACATACTGTTTTCAAAACTATTAAACTTATGTTCAAAACAATAACACAATGCAAAACAGAATAAGACAGAAAAATTCAACAGCAATATTTTATTGAAACATACAGTTGAAGACAGAATTATAAGCCCCCCTGAATTATCCAAGTGGTGCTCACTGCAGAGCCATTTGGGCAGAGCTGAGCTCCAGCGAGGGGGAGCTTGAGCTCTCGCTCCTCCTTTCTTGCACTTCTTCTACGAGTGATGTCATTGGGGGTAGGGTTAGGGGTGGGGTTGGTG